GTTTTCCACTGTCAATGCCATTCGAGTTGTTGAGATTCATCAATCCTCCCTTTAACCAATCCAGAGGTTCTTTCGATGTGAGAAGGATTTTTACAGTGTCTCGCACTGATGAAACATTCTCAAGCCAATGTCCTAACTTTTTTGCATGCATGTTTTTCTTCTTTCTGCCAAGATCCAAAATATCAGCGTGATCGAGGATCAACAAACAAGTGGCATGGTTTCCAGTTCGGAGTTGTTGGATGATGACCGATCCAAACTCGTCAACATCGTTGCCATACTGTTCCGTCAATTGCACACAAATATCCTCTGAGAATATAACTTTAACCAGGCGCCGAAAATAGTTGTTGGCTGACGTTATCTCCTTATCGAATGTCCAAGCAAAGATCCCACCAGGAAAGAGATGTGCCATCCTTCTCATCGCCTCTGCAACAAATCCCTGACTGTTGGTGCCTGTAATGGTGAATACATGCTGAGTCTGTCCCTTGAGCACCATACTTCTTAAATGAGAATATAGTTTGGCAAGCTCCTCCTTGTGTCCATGAATGACTGACGCAGTGTGCAGCACCATCAGGTTGTTCCGGGGTTCGTGGGTGTATATATCTGGTGCACCTTCATCGCATTGGAATGCACCATCATCTTCACAAACCGTGGACAAGTAGAGAACCATAGCACCGGCAAAGTAGTTAGATTGACGGATATCACCTTTAACCAGAAAAGATACGCGTGCCTGATACATCGCCCTCTCGATGGTGGAACCATTAGCCAGAAATTTGTAAAATTCAAACTCGAACTTGCGGGCGAGGTCATCTGGGATGGGACAGTCTGAGCCAATGGCGTACTGAACGCCATGCTTGACTAAAGTCCTGGCGATGCCACGAGAATGACAGGCAGATAGAAATGCGAGCTTTAGGTTTTTAGACACACTTACTAGGTGTGACGCGTTAATGTATTCCAGCTTCCCAGTTACGCCGTGTTCAAAGATAAGAGCTCTTGAGTTTTCCTCCTCATCCTCCCCACAATGACCCATAAAATAGAGCACTGTGGATACCGCAGTCTTTGTGTCGGCTAACACACCCATTTGACTGACTGTCGGTGGAAATACTCTTTCTAACTTGACCTTTTTGTTATTTCTGGTGAAACCATCTTTGAAATTCTGGAATTGTTCACTCAGATGCAAATCTGGAAGGTTTGCACCGGGTTCGCCTGGCAGAATAATGGGGTTGGGGGCAACAGCGACGATTCGCAGGGGAAGTTTCGGTTGCGGATCCTGTGGGCGGTCGTATATACGTGCGAACCTTCGTTGGTGAACTAGGAATGACGTTGGGTGATCTTTGGCATATTCCCACGGAATGGCGTCGAGGTCATCATATTTGTTGAGTTGGAGGAAGATCCTACCGTTCGGGTGTGCTGGCTCGATATTCTCGAGCAGCTGCTTGGTGATGCCAGAAAATATGGCTTTGAACAATGCTATGCCAAAATATCTGAGGGTATCTTGCTAGGCTGTGTGTGGAAGATATCGGCAACCAGGAGTCGATTGGTTCTGTCTGCGATAGCTGGACATCCGTTTAAGTTTTCTTTTTTACAATCCTTGTTTCGGCAATTCTCAAGGGCGAAGGAATAGGAGATACCATCCATGTCACCAGAAGCGGTAATTTTGTCGTTATAGATGGTAATTTCACCGTCATTTCCCGAAGGTAAAGGAACTTTGTACCTAAAAGAATGGCTGTAAATGAATTCGGGGGAACCGTCAGCCTCAGAAACTTCAACGTGTACGAGAATTCCACTGGAGTTGCTCTCCGGGCCGTCTTTTAGCAAGGAAATTCGCATGATTGAGTGTGTAAGCTTTATTTGAGCGCAACCTCCGGATCTCGTATACGAGATATGAGATGGCGTAAAAGCACCTTATTTAACTATAGGACGAAATAAACTTTTTTTGATTTTGACAGATAAATAGTTGCACAGATTACGCTCTAACCGGAAAAGCCACTGGCTTAAATGATTGCTACGAAATGATTGCTACGAAATGAAAGCCAACGGATGAGAAAGCATATAATTACATTCATTAACTCTAGTGTCAATGAGACAGTAGATACAATATATGGAAATATATGGAAGACTTGAGCTGGTTTAACTCACAACTTATGACTCCTTGGTTGGACCGTTTGGATTGTTATAAGAGTGTAGCGTTGATTCTCGAGCCGCCGGAAAGGGACGAGAAACTTTTGCCAAAATCTGTAAGCTTTGGCGTGAGGGATTGATCAAGCAAAATGTTTGCCGCCTTCAAATTGCCATGGATAATGTTTTCGGCGTGAACCGAATCCACTGCCCAGCAGCAGGATGTTTCTGTAGGTCGCCGTTCTCCGCCAGCGTCATTGCATCTGAGCGGCTTGGTAGTAGCCAATGACCTGACAAAGTCAAAGTGCCGAAGGCGCACCAGCTCGTTTTGCACCATTTTATCCACAGCGTCGGCAGAAAGATGGGGGGGCCATGATCTTCTTGATGGCAACAGGCGCACCTCCAAGTGTGCCTTGGTAAACAGGGCCGAGGCCGCCATGACCAATACACTCTTGCTCTGCAACACTACCTTGAAGGCAAGGAATTTGAGGAAGGGGAGGGTCTGTGCTGCTGATTCTGACACTGTTGTTTATCTCTGTAACGTCTACCATTTGTGAGGGCGAGGGTTTCAGAGGGCGAGGACTCTAGAGAGCGAGAACTTTATACTACTTTGATTGTATCGGCGGCACAGCGCTATACCACTCGCCGATCAGTTGTTGTTGCACGGCTTACTCTATCCCGTGTATATTGGGTGATTATTTTTGAAGGCGAACCAATTTTTTTATCAGGTGTCAAGATAACATAACTAGTATAAGGGTGTATATAATTTTTGATTAAAATAACTAAAAAGATTTGGTCCGCCTTCAAAAATAATCATCCAATATACACAAGTATAATATTAGAACGGCATCATCTTGTTTTTTGTAATTACAACTGTGCCTCTTTTACTTTTGCACACGAAGCGGAGCGCTCTCTCTAGTACACAACCTATTGCGTGAATAATGATATTATAAACGTCCAAGATTTCTTGCGCGAGATAAAAAAAAAAAAAAAAAGGTGGTAATGTCTACAAAAAAGGTGCAGCAAGTAACTCGTCTTTCTTGGTAAAAAAAAGAGCGCAATGTGCTTCAGAGCCCTACCTACCCAAAACCTTTTTCTACAAAACATACGTGCGCAAGGTGGCAAGCTCTCTCTTTTTTTTTTTTTTTTTTTTTTTTTTCATTCGTGATGGCGTTTCAAATATTTTAACGAATTGAGACATTACACCCACTTAGCCCTTGTAGCTTAATGGTAAAGCGCTCGCACTTCAAAAAGCTTTGACCGCGAGTGAATCGAGGTTCAAGTCCTCGTGTTGTTTTT